TCAAGTTTTGGGGAGTAGGTTGGAACTGGCATAAAGTTTTGGGGAGTAGGTTGGAACTGGCATCAAGTTTTGGGGAGTAGGTTGGAACAGTCATGAGAAATATCTATCAGGTTTCTGTGTGTCTTGATGTGTGGAGGTGACAGTTGTACACAGAGGTAGCAAGTTCGTACATATCTACCAAATGCAGAGGTACCAAATGTGTACAGATGTACCAAATGTGGTACCAAATGTGTACAGAGGTACCAAATGTGTACAGAGGTACGTATTACGTACAGAGTTACTCCAGAACAGCCATCGCCATGTTAGTTTCGAACCTTCCAATTCTCCTACCCCTAGCCTTGTAAGAACTGACGTCACAGTGATACGCTAGGATGACATCTAACCCCTGTGTTGGTGCGATAACTCTCTGACCCCTGACCCCTCTCGTAGAGCTATAACTCGCTGACCTCTCGACTTCCGCCTACTGTTGTACAGATGGACTCAATGGCCTTGACAGCTGACCTCTCGACTTCCACCTACTGTTGTACAGATGAACTAAATGGCCTTGACAGCTGACCTCTCGACTTCCGCCTACTGTTGTACAGATGGACTCAATGGCCTTGACAGCTGACCTCTCGACTTCCGCCTACTGTTGTACAGATGGACTCAATGGCCTTGACCTACTCAGCAGCGGGAATCAATTTGTCTGGAGAGCCTCCTGAAAGCCGGGCAGTCTTTGACCAGTTCCAGACGTGTCTAACTACGTTATCAAATATTGCTCAGCTCCTCTGTTACGTAGATCTTACGTCACTGCAATATCTCGCGGGACAACCGTAAGTTGATGAGCTATATTTAGCTGTTTTTCTATATTTAGCTGTTTTTCTATATTTAGCTGTTTTTCTATATTTAGCTGTTTTTCTATATTTAGCTGTTTTTCAACTACAAGGACATTACTCGAATTTAATTTTCCCACCACTGTTATATCCGCACATTTAACCACCTTTAGGTGCCTGACTAAAATAGAAACACTGTGTGTGGTGTGTGTGGGTGAGCGGTGGAGCTCCCCCCCCCCCCCTCCCCATTGAAACAAGCTCTGTCAAATGTTTCGGGTATTTAAAAATCCGTTTGATTGCCCAGGGGAGATAATCGACGGGCAGTATTTTTTTTTTCAATTAGATGAATGCGAATTAAATGCGTGTGTGTAAATGAGAAATATTTCAAGTCCAATTTCCTGCACACAAGACAAAACTAGACTGACGTTGATTTCTAGGTTCAAATTTTCATTATGTGACCTAATTTATAAAATATCGATTACCATATTCATTCGATGAACAATAGACATAACACGAGGGATGCTATTTCGACATGGTTGACGTCATTAAAACTTTTCCTTAACATTTGGGGTGGGGGTGGGGGGGGGGGGGGGTCGAGCCTGAAAATTAGTTTGGTTAGTTAATCCGTGTTTTTTTTTTCCTTTTTCTGAGTTAATTTTTGCACTCAGCGACTTCTACCTGTACATAAACCCAACTAATTTTGCGCGCCGCCGTGCGCCAAATATTTGAGCACCATAGGGCACCAGAACTGCTGAAAATGTGGGAAAGGAATTTTTACGGCGACTCCAAGAATAGACGGGTAGACAAATACACGCGGAGGTGCGAGAGGCCGAGCGGCAAGATTTCAATCAAAGAAAAATCAATACGGTTAGAGCCAGGGACAAGTTCTTTCCCTTGTCAAGTTAGATAACCGCAAGTGATGAGAGCGCCTCGGTGGGCCCTGGTCATTCTCTTATATATTCATGGTTTTTATGGCTTATTGAACCCAGGGGACGACCGAGGGTGGGGAGGGAGGGTTGGGTGGATTGGGGTGGATGTTGGAAGCAATGTGGAGTGATAGTAATACATTAAAAAAACTTTCGATGATAAAAAAAATGACTTATCTAGTCACAAAAAAAACGACAACTGGGAGAAAGGCAAGCGGAGGTAAAAAAAAATATTTTGGTGAATTGTTTTAAAAAAATACAAATTGATCTCTTTGTTTAGTTTTTTTTCCTTTACTTTTATATTAAAAATTTGTTTTCTCAAAGTCTAGACTAAAATAGTTTTAAGTTGACTGATGTAGCGTATTAACTTAAGTCTTGTCGTGGTGTTGACTTAAGTATAGGTGACGTATTGTAGAATGATGGGTGCTATATTGACTAAAGTATGGGTGCTATATTGACTAAAGTATGGGTGCTACATTGACTGAGGTATGGGTGCTACATTGACTGAGGTATGGGTGCTATATTGACTGAAGTATGGGTGCTATATTGACTGAAGTATGGGTGCTACATTGACTGAGGTATGGGTGCTACATTGACTGAGGTATGGGTGCTACATTGACTGAAGTATGGGTGCTATATTGACTGAAGTATGGGTGCTATATTGACTGAAGTATGGGTGCTATATTGACTGAAGTATGGGTGCTATATTGACCGAAATATGGGTGCTATATTGACTGAAGTATGGGTGTTATATTGACTAATGTATGCGGCTACATTGACTGAAGTATGGGTGCTACATTGACTGAAGTATGTGTGCTATATTGACTGAAGTATGGGTGCTATATTGACTGAAGTATGGGTGCTACATTGACTGAAGTATGGGTGCTACATTGACTGAAGTATGTGTGCCGTATTGCTGCAACAAGTTAGGACCCCGGCAATGTGGGCCCAGGGCATGCTAGAGTGAGAACCGTCCAGTACAAAGCTAAGATAAATCTGGTGAACTACAGCTGCGCTCAGGACCCAAGATATTCTTTATGCTGATTCTTACAGGCAAGGTAGCCATAAAGCTGGTGTCAACAGGTAGCCATAAGGCTAGTACATAGGCGAGGTAGCCATAAGGCTAGTACATAGGCGAGGTAGCCACAAGGCTAGTACACAGGCGAGGTAGCCACAAGGCTAGTACACAGGCGAGGTAGCCATAAGGCTAGTACACAGGCGAGGTAGCCATAAAGCTGATTCACACAACCATATTTTGTTAGCTCCGAATTCCGGCTAAGCTCCGATATGGTAGAGCCTTCATGACGTAATTAGATGGCTTAACTATCCCCTTGATTACTGTAATTTAATTAGCCGGACGATTGCCGGACGACAACAATCAGACTTGATGACTCAAAGACGTCCAGACGTAATTAGCGGCAGGGGCGGCAACTCGATACCAGATCAATCGATTTGGTATCGATTTCCTGCTTTTTGGGTTTGATTGGCTGATCGAAGTGAGTCACGTGAACAAACCACGTGCACACTAACCACGTGACAACAAAAGACAATAAAATAAAAAGGAGTGATGTCAAATGACCACGCTACCTTAAGTTGGTGTAACGATACTATCTTCAACATGTATGTGAGGACCCAACAGATTGACTAAATTAACTCCCTTACAGTAAGGGGACATAACTCACCAATCCAGTTTGTCCGACCAGCTGATCGGATGTATACCGACCAGCTGACCGGATGTATACCGACCAGCTGACCGGATGTATACCGACCAGCTGACCGGATGTATACCGACCAGCTGACTGAATGTATACCGGCTCGATGTACGCATGCAGCCAAGTAATATTCCAAGTTTAGAGCTGATCTATTTTTTGTACAGATCATGTCCCGTTTGATTAATGTGAAAAAAGTTTTAAATATGGACAGGACAATTCTAAACCTGGATTAGATGCTGAGAAAATATAACGCTTATTTTTTTTTTTAATGTTTGAATTATTTCCCCTCGTCTCTATTTCCTGCTCCTACGTAATGGAACTATGCAAAGCTGGTCTACGCAGGGCGATAATATCAAGCTAGCCGATGTCTTATTGGCTGGACCGGCGTGTGAGCAGTTTTCTGATTTCATCCCGTAGATCCCGCTAACGACCTCAACTTTTACGAGCAGACTCAGGCTCGGGTGTGCGGCATTCATTGCCGTCATTTTCATCTCAGGGGCCGGGTAAAATGGCTGCAATCTTTGACCCCTGACCCCCGACTAGCACCTCTGAATGGGCACGAGGAATGTAACGGCTTTAGTGCCTTTCTCTGCCCCGTTTTATTGCCTTTCTCTGCCCTGTTTTATCGTAGAGCCCCCCATCGCTCCACGCCCAAGAGGGCCGCGCCCAATTTTGGAGCAGAAATAAAAACCAGGCAATCAGCATCCATTGTGTCCAGCGGCTTATTAAAGCACCCTGGAACCGATGCCAGAATGTCTATCTCCGCGGGTGAGGGGGAGGGGTAGGTTGTAAATATATGTGACTAAAGCGGGTCTAGAGATCGACCGTGATGGGACCAATTATGAACTTGATTGCGGTCAGTGCATGCACGTGAGTGGGGTTGTGGTGTGTGGTGGGCCGGAGTAGGTGACGTCAGACGTTTTATGTTTATTTATAGCACATTTTTTAAGTAATAAAACTTGTAGGGTAGTTGGTAAGTGTCTGATTTGGTTAAGTAGGTGTGGGGTGGAGGTGGGGGGGGGGGGGTCTTAAAGATTGTCCTGAGCGGGATGAATTTATTATTGTCTAGCTGATGTCACAGAATCTTGGTGAGGGAATATCTCAAAGAGTGTGTTGAGGGGATCTCTCAAAGATACTAGTGAGGGGATGTCTCAAGGCTTTTGGTGAGGGGATGTCTCAAGGCTTTTGGTGAGGGGATGTCTCAAGGATTGCAGGAATGAGGGACCACCCAACTGTTGATTATTTCACACAGCAAATCAATAATCTATCGACTTTTGGTCTCAATATTCTTTAATCACATGCTGATTAGGTTTCCTACACCACCACCCCCTCCCCAGCTCTCCCTCTCTTTCTCTTACACACACATACACACACCTCTCATCACAGAAACCCAAAATCAACAACTGAATGCAGCCCCCCTCCCCTTCCTACCATAAAGACGCCCATTTTAAACTTACCACCGCCCCCCCCCCCCACCATACAGAAGCCCATTATTAACTTACCACCCCCACCCCCCACCCCCACCACACAGAAGCCCATTTTAAACTTACCATCGAGTACTTCTTGGGGTTGATGTAAGCCCTCACGTTCTGCTCTAGGTAGGCTTGGGCTTGGGCTGCTAAAGGCATGGATGGAGAAGATGCATAGGGGCTTAGTGGAGGCTTTCTGTTGGTGAACCTGCAACAGAGGAGTGGGTGGAGGCTTAGACAAGCAGAAACAACAAAAAGTCATAGGACGCACTAACAGCTTGGTTTAACGAGGATGTTGCACTGGCCAGCTTTCACAGATTTCCACCATTGCTCCATTGGTCAACTTTAATAGTTTCGTTATATAGTATTAGCAGTGGATACCATTATACAACACTAGATGTGGATATCCATTATACAACATTAGCTGTGCTGTGGATATCCAACATTAGCTGTGCTTTGGATATCCGTTATACATCACTAGATTTTGATATACATTTTACAACCGCAGTTAATATCCGTTATAAAACTTTAGTTGTGAATATTTTTAAAAAGTCGTTAAAAATAATGTTTGTGTGTAAGATTATATCATGTGTCTCAATTGTATGGTTATCCACATAATCAACAAAGATTATCTTAATCCCCTACACAAAAATCAACCTCCCTCTCCTTCCTATTTCATTTATTCAGTGACCCACAGTAAATCGACCTACCCCCCCCCCCCCAGCGGTCAGTAACTTATTTCCTATCTTCATTTGTGTGCCGGTCATTAGCATGGTCGTCACGTGGTAACCAGCTGATTAGCTGCCAGACATACCCAAACTTGCCTAACAAACATGATCGCGGGAGTAGCCACAAGCTCTCGCTCTCTCTCGCCACGCGACGTGACTGGACGAGATTTGACCAAGGATAGGAAACGTAACTGCTTCTTAGTGTGGTTGACTATTTGGATGGCATTAGACGGGGGATGGGGTGGGGTGGGGGCTCACACATCCCATTCACACATATAGACACAAGAACACACACACACACATACACACACATAAATATCCTCTCCCTTACACAGGTTAAAGTTCTTAACCTAATGAGGGATCGTGCGTGTATATAACACAAGTAATTTATGACATTGGTGACGTGGTAGTTTGTTGTTTTGTTATAATCTTTGGTCCTGGTAGAGACCCACAACACTTTCGCTAACATGATATTTTTTTTCAAAATATCCACAACAGTTAAGGACCTGCATCAAACACTGCCCCATGCCCCATCAAACACTGCCCCATCAAACACTGCCCCATCAAGCACTGCCCCATCAAACACTGCCCCATGCCCCATCAAACACTGCCCCCTCAAACACTGCCCCATCAAACACTGCCCTAAACACTGCCCCATCAAACACTGCCCCATCAAACACTGCCCCATCAAACACTGCCCCATCAAACACTGCCCATCAAACACTGCCCCATCAAACACTGCCCCATCAAACACTGCCCCATCAAACACTGCCCCATCAAACACTGCCCCATCAAACACTGCCCCATCAAACACTGCCCCATCAAACACTGCCCCATCAAACACTGCCCCATCAAACACTGCCCCATCAAACACTGCCCCATCAAACACTGCCCCATCAAACACTGCCCCATCAAACACTGCCCATCAAACACTGCCCCATCAAACACTGCCCCATCAAACACTGCCCCATGCCCCATCAAACACTGCCCCCTCAAACACTGCCCCATCAAACACTGCCCCACCAAACACTGCCCCATCAAACACTGCCCCACCAAACACTGCCTTATCAAACACTGCCCCATCAAACACTGCCCCATCAAACACTGCCCTAAACACTGCCCCATCAAACACTGCCCATCAAACACTGCCCATCAAACACTGCCCCATCAAACACTGCCCCATCAAACACTGCCCATCAAACACTGCCCATCAAACACTGCCCCATCAAACACTGCCCCATCAAACACTGCCCTAAACACTGCCCCATCAAACACTGCCCCATCAAACACTGCCCCATCAAACACTGCCCCATCAAACACTGCCCTAAACACTGCCCCATCAAACACTGCCCCATGCCACATCAAACACTGCCCCATCAAACACTGCCCCATCAAACACTGCCCCATCAAACACTGCCCCATCAAACACTGCCCCATCAAACACTGCCCCATCAAACACTGCCCTAAACACTGCCCCATCAAACACTGCCCCATGCCCCATCAAACACTGCCCCATCAAACACTGCCCCATCAAACACTGCCCCATGCCCCATCAAACACTGCCCCATCAAACACTGCCCCATCAAACACTGCCCCATGCCCCATCAAACACTGCCCCATCAAACACTGCCCCATCAAACACTGCCCCATCAAACACTGCCCCATCAAACACTGCCCCATGCCCCATCAAACACTGCCCCATCAAACACTGCCCCATCAAACACTGCTTCATCAAACACTGCCCCATCAAACACTGCCCATCAAACACTGCCCCATCAAACACTGCCCCATCAAACACTGCCCATCAAACACTGCCACATCAAACACTGCCCCATCAAACACTGCCACATCAAACGCTGCCCTAAATACTGTGCCATCCCAAAACTCGAAACACAATATTCCTGTTTTGTTGGTTATCGAAGGATTTGTTCGAGAGGGACATGTATGTTCTCGGTATGTTACATTATAATATGGGTTATGGCGTAATGTGGAAATGTTACATAACGTTACATGGATTGTTGATAGATTGTTAAACTCACACTGCTGTGTTGTATCAGATGTGCAGGATCCACCACATGAATATTTCTAACAAGATGACATTTTTTTATAAAGGAAAATATGAGAAAACACAGAAAGACCAAAGCTATTGTGACATCGGATAACGGGACCATTACATAACCATTACAGGGTCATTACATGACCATTACATAACTATTACATAACCATTATTACACCATTACTTGCAGCCTCGGCTGTTGTTTAATAAAGTTTGGTATTTCTGTCAGTTGAAAGCAGATGTAAGGGACACAATCGAAATAATTTTAAAATATTTGACTTATTTTTAGGTTACCTCCCTTGAGGAAATAACAACATTGTATGATTTTTTTTAATTATAAATCTGTTTTCAGTTATTTATTTATTTTTTTCATAATTTTACAACAAGGTTCAAAATCTCTTTTTATTATAGGGCAAATAAAAATGTAGGCCTAATTAATAATGTAATAAAGAATATCATAAATGTAATTAAAAACAAAAACTTCGTAAACCTCTTATCAAAGGGACGCTACTGCAGAAATGAGAATAACTTTTTTGTAACCACGGTTGTTCCCCTTGATTATTTTGTAGACGCAAGAGAAGCTAATAATTTTTTGTTATATTCTATTCAAAGAGAAAATTGTACTAATTAAAATCAAACACTGAGTAATTACGTTGTAACGCTAGCAACTATCGATTTTCATTTCGCCCCACAAAAACGTTTTTAAAATGTAATGATATAATAATGTTTCGTGTTTTAATATAATAAGTACGGTAATTTCTTTCTAACGCTGTTTTTATATATCAATACAAAACAACAAAAGATAAAGTAGGTTTAGGTACAGAAAACAACTTTAAAAAGCACCCACTTGTTCTTGTGCTGGGGTACGAGCCCGCACGAGCCGACGAGCGAGGGGATGCTGCCGGCTGTAGCCGTGGTCTGGGCCAGCTGAATGGACTGGATCATAGCCACGGCTTCCTGCTTCAGCTGGCCGATCGGCGTCTGGCACACGGCGCACTGGCCCGTCCGGGAGAACCAGCGCTCGTACGACTCCGGCACCGTCAGCCGCTCTCCGATGTTGTCTAGCCGGATGCTCTGTGGAGGTAAGACATGTCACGTGATACGGGCTGTAGGAGTGGTGTAGTGGGGATTTGGGGTCGGGGTCAACTTGATGGGGGACATTGGTTTTTTGGGGTCGGGGAAAGTCTGATGGGGGACATGATACGTTTTAAATTGGGGAGAGGGTAATTTGTGTAAAGTCATGTCACCAACAGAAAGTCCTTTCGTTAAAAACTAAATAACAAATACGACTTTAACCAATGTTGTTGCTAATTGTGGACTTTGTCATGTAGCAATCATTTGCTACGTAATGAAAGTACATTGTGTTTATTTTTAATGGGGTTAGTGACCGCTAGTTCAAAGGTCACCGCGTTGTAAACCAGATGTTTACTCAAATACTGTAAGTTATTTAGTGTTGTGTTGAATAACTTATAAAAAGTCCATTAACAATTCTTAGAATTCTTTTTCGTGTTTATCTCCCTTTGATGTAAATGAACACAAAAATGAAGATTGTATAATCTCCCTTGCATCAGAGTAATTTATTGCTTGTCATTACCAGCAGCAAATGCTCACAAATCTGTCCTTGTCTCGACACTCAAACACAGATAACACAGATAATGTTAATTGAGCGTGGTCAGCTAAATCAGACATGCTTCCCATCATTCGTTAATTACATGTGTGACGTCACCAATGCCGACAACTCATCCCATTTTCTTGAGGCCAATATATCAGTCTTTAAACATTATTTTATGGTGATTTTGCTAGTAATACAAAGTTTGTTTTGTTTGTCATTCAATCATTTTTCTTGTTCCAAAAAAAAAAAAAGATTGTAGGCCTATTAAGTGGAAGATCATGTATTATTTGAATGTAATTAGTTTTATTAAGTTAATTGATTGTTTAATTATTTTCAGAGGGGGCACCAAAATTATAATGTAATAATATGATTGAGACGCCAGACGCAATTTATTTAACTATGCTAAAACTGTATAATCATGGGCTTTTAGCACGCACTGTGTCACGTGACTTGCTCACACACACACACACACACACAAACACATGCACACAAACACATGCACACACACACACACACTGACACGGTCAAGGTGACCCGACATATTTTGAGCTGGAGATTCCTCGTTTAACACATCGACAGCGGATTAACGGATTAGAGCCTAATCCTACCTGCGAGTAAACAAACGGCGCATGTCGGCTCGTGCAGGTTGTACTCACGGTTAAAAATAAACGTGTACACACTTGTACACCAATCACGTGACACGAGTCAGCAGGTGTATGTACACACATGAGGTCAGAACGGTGTCATCTATGTAAACAGACAACACCTTCAGCAAACAATTCACTAACGGCGAAGGAGGGGGGTAATGTTGTTCTGTAGCTACATCGTAAACATGATAAACTATAATTAACATAAGGCCTAATTAATCATAGCATACTTTACACGTCAACATACGATAGTTTACCTACTTCCAGCGTGTATCAGAACAGAAGCGCTAGTCCACATCCAGGAATACCTGGCCAGGTAGATACCATCTGTTGGTCACTGACTGACTGGCCACCCTCCCTACATACCCTCTCGATAACTGCGTCAACTCCCGATAATTACGTCACTCTGCCCTTGTCGGTGACGTCACACCACCCCCAAAATGGCACCTAACAGCTGAGACTGACAGGTAACAGTCGAGGTGTGACCAGCTGTAGCAACAAGTGGACATCCGTGTGTCAGGGGACCGGACACACCCTCCCTCCCCACCGGACCCCACACCCTCCCTCCCCACCCAGACCCCACACCCTCCTCTCCCATCCGGACCCCACACCCTAGGGCAGGGAAGCTTCACACCCCTGTCGCCGTCTCTATTGATATCACATCTGTTTACTTACCCCCCCCCCCCCCACCACCTCCAACTACCACCCCACCCCCTACACACACACAACCAACCAGCAGCTACTGTAGGTAAATGTTTAGGTCAAAGTGACACACATGCAAACATTTCAACGCACACATAAATGCTCACATACACACAGCACATACATACTCGGTCAACGACACACACACACAGTGACCATAAAAACACAGGCCATGGGCATGAAGGGGTTAATGATGACACTAAAACTGAGTGACGGCGTCATCAAGGAATGTGGCGTCATAGATTTACATAGAGGAGTCATACATTTACAGAGAGGAGCCATACATTTACATAGAGGAGCCATACATTTACATAGAGGAGCCATACATTTACATGATTTACATGAGAATTTTTAAAATAGTTTTCCTTCCACAATAAATTAGGTCTCGCCCAATTTTATGGCAATCAATGAGCAATTTTAGTGAAGAGTAACTTTGGTGTTTTAAGTTATTTTAAAACTTGGACATGGAAAGTAATAGGGAAGGGGGCGCGATTTGAGAAACTGTTTTCTCCAAAGAAGTTACGTCCCCTATGAAGAAGCGACACAGTTAAGTCCCCTGCGACTGTTAAAATAAATTTAGCTGACAGTTCCTCTCCTTTGTTGAAGCAAGACATCTATAGGGAAATGTATAGCTCCCCCTCTCCTCCCCCACCTCGGCCGCTCCAGATATAGGTCACGTCTAATCAAGCTTCAGGGCTGACGGACATCTGACAGCTAATTGACGTCCACCTGGGGACGGGGGGGGGGGGGTGGGGAGGGGGGTCCTGGGAGACACAGGAGAGGCATTCTAGGAGGGATTCGTTCTAACACTCATAACATTTTACCTGGGTGAGTGAATGAGAGAGGAAGAGAGAGAGATGGAGAGTACTCAGTATTTGTGACTGTGAGTGATTACACCTGAGGTCATTTGGTAGAAAACTGCAGGTCACGTGGTTACCGTACAACGGCTCAGATATGCACGTGCGATGTGGGACTGTGACGTCAGGCGGTGTGAACCTGTGACGTCATGTCGCGATAGAACGGTCTCCCTGTGAGGGTCGTCTGCTGATTGAGTCCAGCAGACGACTGGGATGAAAGAGAGCAGCTAGGTGGAAGTAAGCCGGGCTGGCAGGTTGGACGTGTGGGCAGGGGTCTGGTACGTCAGGGGGAGGGGGAGGGGGGGTACATCAAGGGGAGGGGGAGGGGTATACATCAAGAGAGGGGGGGGATTGATAGACGTTGGACATAAACAAAGGCTGGTTCGCTGGGTGTTTTGACAAATGTGAGTAGACCGTTTGACGAGTCGAGTGATATGTAGGCTACATGGAACACAGTGTGATGTGTAGGCTACATGGAACACAACGTGATGTGTAGGCTACATGGAACACAACGTGATGTGTAGGCTACATAGAACACAGTGTGATGTGTAGGCTACATGGAACACAACGTGATGTGTAGGCTACATGGAACACAGCGTGATGTGTAGGCTACATGGAACACAACATGATGTGTAGTCTAGATTAACACAACGTGATGTGTAGGCTACATGGAACACAACGTGATGTGTAGGCTACATGGAACACAGCGTGATGTGTAGGCTACATGGAACACAACGTGATGTGTAGGCTACATGGAACACAGCGTGATGTGTACATGGAACACTGACGTGTAGGCTACATGGAACACAACTTGATGAGTAGGCTACATGGAACACAACGTGATGTGTAGGCTACATGGAACAGAACGTGATGTGTAGGCTAGATGGAACACTCACGTCACGTGATGTGTAGGCTACATGGAACACTGATGTGTAGGCTACATGGAACACAACGTGACGTGTAGGCTACATGGAACACTGACGTGATGTGTAGGCTACATGGAACACAACGTGATGTGTACATGGAACACAACGTGACGTGTAGGCTACATGGAACACTGACGTGTAGGCTACATGGAACACAACTTGATGTGTAGGCTACATGGAGCACGTGTCTATATTACTAGTACCAGTGTGTACTTTGTCACACACAAAATGAAAAAGTTTACATCATTACGCAATGTATTAATATGTACGCTATTTATTTATGTTTATGTTGTGTGAGGTGGGGATGTGAGAGGTGGGTGTGGGGGTGGGGGATGTTGTCAAGACGTCATATTTAATTATTATGTCGTGTGAGACAGGATGTAGGGAGGGGGAGGGGGAGATGGGGTTAAAGACAAAGCCATCTTGTGCAGACACGAGTTTAAATCAGCTGTCGAGACGTTCTATTGGCTAACAAAGACGCGCAACCTCCCAATCGTAATGAAATCGCCGCCATTAGCGGACATTCCCGGAGCCATTTCCTCCCCCCCTCCCCCCCCTCGCCTATTAGTGTCAGAATATTGCGGCTTATTCCACTAGAATAACTGTGTCCCGTCCCCTCCGTCTCCCCGCCCCTGGGGCAACTCTTAGCTTCAGTGGGCACGAAGGAGAAACTAGGTCATCTTGACCTCGTTTTGGAGTGTGGGGAATCACAAGGCGGGGAGTGCTAACAAAAACAGGTCGATGGAGAAATCAATCAGATCGATGAGGCAGGGATCGGGTCGAACAATGGCACAATTAGCCGCCTGTGCCTCGGGCACCCAGCCACGGCAGGAGCCGGCAGTAAAAAACACGTGCATTGTGCTGGTGAGTACCCCTCTCCTTCTAGAGTTCCCGGGGAAAACACGCCCGCCCTGCCCCTAGTGGGACCTTTCACCCTCTCATCAGCACCTGGGTAGGGGGGGGGGGTGAGTAGCGATGACAATAATCCTCCCTCCCCCCTCCACAACAATAGACCATGGGTGGGGGAGAGAACATCACGTAATATGATCTGTTGGGTTTCCATTTAGTTGGTTCCCCCCCCCCCCCTCACCGTTCACACACACAATCTTAAATTATTTTAAACTGCTGGTCTGTACATTAAAAACACAATCATCCGTTTCATCTAGACAACAAGGAGTTTACGCGTTTCTGAACTTATGACGTCAAACGCGTGCTCCGGTATCATGGCAGAAAATGGTTTTCCACTTAACTGTACCAACTTTCAACTTTCAATTTTCAACATCAGCTTTCAACTTACAGCTTTTACTTTTCAACTTTCAGTTCTCAACTT